ATATATGTATATACATATATTTACTGCAAGTAATCAACATATACTGCACAGGTTGTGTGACAGGTTATTGCACACGCCCAGGTAGTGACATTGAGGTTGAATTATTAGTTATTGCCAGTTGTTCAGTGTTATTTATCAGTTCAGTAATGTGACAGCTTGTGGATAATAGCTGTCCTTTAGTCTTTTTTTACGTGATGACAGATTCCTGTATCATCTGCCTGAGGGTAGTAAACGGAAGAGTCCTTGTGCTGGGTGGGTGTGGTCCTTAATGAAGCTGTATGATTTACGCAGACATCAGCTGTGTTAGATGTCCTGGATGGTGTGGAGACTGCTACCAGTGATGTCCTCTGCTGTTTGCACCACCCTCTGTAGTTCTTTCCAGCTCTGACTGGTGCAGTTCATGTACCACCTTATGATGCAGCTGGTCAGCAGGCTTTCAGTGGTGCACCTATAAAAGTTAGTGAGGATGCTGGTGTTCATGACAAATTTCTTTAGTCTTCTTAGGAAGTAGAGTCTTTGTCGGGCTTTCTTGACCACAGTGTCTGTATGTAAAGTCCAGGACAGATCCTCGGTAATGTGAACGCCGAGGAACTTGAAGCTGCTGACTTGCTCCACCTCAGCGTTGTTTATGTAGATGGTGGTGTGCTGGCCTCCATGCTGTTTCCTGAAGTCCACTATCATCTCCTTTGTTTTGCTGACATTTAGAGAAAGGTTATTTTCCTGACACCAGTTGGTCAGTGCTGGTGAAGATTCTCAGTCATCCAGGACATGATGAATTCAAAAAGCGTTCAATACAAAAACAGCTGGTCAGTGATTTCACCTCGTCTCTGTAGGCACTCTCGTCGTTGTTGGTGATGAAGCCCAGGATGGTGGTGTCATCAGCATACTTGAGGATGACAATAGAGCTGTGCTTGGTGCTACAGTCACGTGTAAATAGTGAGTACAGGAGTGGACTGAGGACACAGCCCTCAGGTGTGCCGGTGCGGGGGACTATTGTGGAGGAGAGGTGACAGCCGATTCTAACTGCCTGTGGTCTGTTGATGAGGAAGTCCAGTATCCAGCAGCACATGGACTGCTCCAGGCCCAGTGTGGTGAGCTTGGAAACCAGCTTGGAGGGGATTGTGGTGTTGAATGCTGAGCTGTAGTCAATGAAGAGCATTCTCACATAGGTGTTTACCTTCTCCAGATGGCTGAGGGAGGTGAACTGCATCTGTTATGATGCCATTGCTCTGATCTGGAACAGTTTTCTCAGCACTCTCTGTCAGAGACTGTAGTTCTACACTCAGAACTGAACCAGCTCTCTTGATGAGCTTATCAAGTACGCTGGCATCAGCTTTCTTCACCCTGCTGCCCCAGCACACCACAGCATAGAAGACAACGCTGGAGAACACCAAGTAGTAAAACATCTGCAGCAAGGTCCTGCAGACGTTAAAGGACCTAAAAAGATCATGCGAGATAAAAAGAGTTAAAGGATATTACAGTCAGTTTTACATTTACTGAACAAAAATTGCATGTGGCTGTGACAACTTGAGATGTTGCACAAGTTTTGCATTAAAATATTTTCAAGGTTTGTCAAAACCGCTTACAACTCCATCATTTCTCAACTGAAAATTATCTTGAGCCAAAACTCTGGTGTGAAAGATTGTGGGGGATATTCATTCCTTAAGCCTTTCATTTAATTGTTCTGTTTTTTGTATCATTTATGTAGAGTTGATGAAATGTTTTTTTTTTCTGATGTGTTTATTCCTAGTGTCACGGTTTCTAATTACATCCACGGGAGCCCTGTATATCCTGGATGTGCAAATGGAAGATGGGCTGTATAACTACAGATGTATGACACGACATCGATACACGGGAGAGACCCGACAAAGCAATAGTGCCCGTCTCATTGTTTCAGGTAAGATCCTACTGTTTCGCATTTACTGTCAACACAGTGTAGAAGATCTGTGGCAAAGTTTCATCAAGTATTCGTCATGTTCTCGTATAATTTTAAAGGGTGCAAAAGCATAAGCCTCTCAGTTTTAATTTGTCTTCGTCCACTGCCACTACTCCTTCAGTAGACTTTGAAAAACCCATTCAAAACATATCACAATAAAAAGAGTTTGAGAAAATGAGAGAAAATCCAGTCGTGCTTGAAGCTCTAGAGTTCAGACATTACTTTTCAGTAGAAAACTTCTTTCAAAGTTTAAATGGCTCACAAAAAGTTGGACTTAACATGATGTCTTTTTTTTACAAGTTTAACATATATTCTGTTTTTTGAAGATTTTTCCACAAAATGTTCAGAGAGTTGATTCTACCTAGTTACTTGTGAACAGTCTGTATTTTATACAGTATATATTTTTTGAAAAACTAACTCTTCTTACTCCCACACCTTTTTAGTACATGTAATTTAATAGCCATTAAAACATAAAGATTTGAGTCGGCTACTCTGGGTTAGTCTTGGATTCCTCATGGAAAAGTTGCAAGAGGTGACGGTGGGAAGAGAAGTTGAGATTTCCGTGATGCTGCAAACTGTGTATAAGTGGCGACTGGCAAGAGTCAATTCTGAGCTGTATTCATACCGTCTGCTCACAAATGACCCTATTCAGGTTGCTGTTTACTGCATTTATATTATTATTGTTAAAAGAGTATATATATTAGTTTCTTAATAAAAATATATATATATATATATATATATATATATATATATATATATATATATATACATGTGAGGTGTACCACAAACCCACCCACACAGACCAGTATTTGCAGTTTGACTCCCATCACCCTTTGGAGCACAAGTTAGGAGTCATCAGGACTCTGTACCACAGAGCAGACAGCGTCCCCACTAGCTCAGGAGCCAGGCAGAAGGAGAAATCCCACACAAGACAGGCTCTAGAGCAATGTGGATATCCTAACTGGGCCTTCCTGAAAGCAGAGAAGAAACCCAAACAGGACTCCAGTCAGCCATCAGGTGAAAAGGAGGAACCCAGACCCAGACCAGTGGTCATTCCGTATGTTGAGGGAGTATCAGAGAAACTGAGACGTTTATTTTCTAAACATAACGTCCCAGTGGCTTTTAAACCCCAACATACATTAAAGACTGGTTCATCCCAAAGATCCAGTCCCCCGACACAAACAGAGTAATATTGTGTATGTTGTTCAGTGTCAGGAGGGTGATCAGTCTTACATCGGG